TGTTATGTTGTTGAATGTTGTGCAACTTTGTGTAAGGTTGTTTTAGCAGGTTGATCACAATTGATCTTATAATAATTTGGCTGGCAATATCGTCAATCTAAAGCCAGTTGAATTAAACAAATGTGTGTTGTTTTGGTTCGTTTCGTCTGCGCCTGCTGTGCCTGTTCACTCCAAGCCAGTGGCACTCGCCACATTGAGACCCCACAAAGTGCAAGACAGGCACTACGGGCTTGTAATAGCATACCTGCCAAGTTCAAGAATTCTTAAAATCTGGCAGATTTCCTCAACAGGGGTAGAGGGAGGGTGGGTCACACTGATTTATTTGCCTCCCCTTTTTGCACCAAAAGAAAACAAAAAGAAACATTGCTGAAAAAAATAAAACGGGGGGGGGGGGGGGGGGGGGACAACTTCGCACATGTAAACATCCATGTCTTATATGATGGCTTGGAGTGGCCGAACACACGAAGGTAGTGTTTACCCAACTACAATAGAAGCTGAGAGTCTTCGAGGGGGTGCACAAATATGCATATCTCCCGAAATTTTGTAACATCTGAATAACTAGCACAATCTATTCTTGTCAAAATATCTCATGTATCATGATTATATATGGTAGCACAGACAAAGGACACAAACAAGAAAAGGCACATTCAAAACAACACAGCGCTAACTTTCAATAACAGTTTATTACACGCAGATCCCCTTAGTGTATGTACTCCACCACGCCATAGGTCACATGTGCATAGCTGTCGCAACCATGAATTATAACCAATGCGCATGCATCAGCCCATTACAACACAATATTTTCCCCACTTTTCTTGCTTTTTCTTTCTTCCTTTTTTTTCATGCGTAACCAAAAAAAAAAAACACTTATCGCGAATACATGTAATCAAGTTTCTTATTTGTCAACATCACTGATAAAGTGCTCACACATGCTTCACCAAGCGCTGAAATTCTGCCAGCCTCCATTATCAATCACGTCATCTCGCACCTACTTCTATTCATAATAACCATTTCCTTGAATTTGGGTATGCAATTACATCTCTGGCAATGATGGGAAAGAAATCCGTCGGGAAGAACACTATTTACTTTGTTATTGTGCTCATGCAAGCGATCATTTATGCATCTACTGGTCTGTTTGACATAGCACTTTCCACAAGTAAGTGGAATCAGGTAGATAGGTAACACACATGATGCATTCAACAAATAGGTTTCTATGCTTCTTTTGGCATACATTCGCTTTTGTGGTTACGCACGGGAGAAAAAAGGAAGAAATAAAAAGCAAAAAAAGTTGAATAAACTTCGAGACATTCATTTTAAAACCAATAACACTAAAAATACATCACGAGGATCTCGAAGGCCATGCTTTTCAGGCTCGCATGCCATTGTGCGCTAGCGAACAAGGAAGGGAGTGCCATTGCAGCGAGATCGCCGAGTCACTTCGCATTCTCATTTTGGTGTTCTCGGCAATACGATCTTTTTGAAAAACACTATGCCCACGCATTAAGACCTGCAGATCACAGATCAAACATACTGGTGCACTTGTAAGGGCCGTGCAGCAAACTTGATCAGCGTGATAAAGTAACACTGCCTTTTCGTCACCTGCACGCAAAAAGGGATCAGAACTTGCCAGAACACGACCGAAAATTTATCAATATTTGCTAGGAAAAGTGCACTTTCTGGGCTTCGGCGTGGCACAGTGTTCGATATAGCGGATGTCCCGCTATGTAGTAGTTCGATATGTGGGTGCACCGATCCTGTTTCTGCATGAGAAATTCAAGGGGATTTTTTTTTAACTGTTCGATATGTGGGTGCACCGATCCTGTTTCTGCATGAGAAATTCAAGGGGATTTTTTTTTAACTGTTCGACATAGCCAATAATTCGGTATATCCGAGTTTGATATATCCAGGATCAATGGTAATACAATGCTTTTTACTCAAGTGTGTGAGTATTCAAACTTTGAAATGATTTCTCTAATGGTGTTTGCTATTGGATTCGTTTCACACCGAAATTTTCACACCGAAAAAGTCAGTATGGTTTTCAAAAAAATAAATCAACAGAACAAGCTCTACTGTATATCAAAGATAAGATAACCGAAAATATGGAAAACAAAAAATATACTCTTGGGCTCTTCCTCGATCTTCAAAAGGCATTTGACTCCACACAATTCAAATCATTGATTCATAAACTATCAAGTTATGGGGTGCGTGGAGTTGCATTTCAACTGTTTAAAAGTTACCTTGAAGATCGTTATCAATATGTACAACTGAATAATACTATTTCTGCAAAGATAAAATTAAACCAAGGAGTCCCCCAAGGGTCTATACTGGGGCCATTATTGTTCCTTACCTATATAAACGATATTGTCAATATACCTCATTCTCCTGAACTTATAATGTACGCTGATGATACGAATGTTTTCTTTTCATCAGACAATCTAATATCACTTGAGGTCAGTGTAAATAATTATCTAAGCAATCTTTCAAATTGGTTAAGGCAAAATGGACTGCGCTTGAATGCAAAAAAAAAACAACCTATATGATATTCCAACCTATAAACAAACCTATTAGTAACATAGCTGTAAAAATCGAAGGAAATTGCATCGCACATGTTAAGGAATAAAAGTTTCTTGGTGTATGGTTTCAGGAGGAATTAAACTGGAACACACATGTAAATCATCTGATCACTGCATTAGTGCGAATAGTTGGTTGTTTTTTTAGAACAATGCACTTAATCCCAATGAGGTTAAAAATAAGTATGTATTATGCACTCTTCCATTCTAAAGTAACTTATGGGATGTTAGTCTGGGGAACGACATCACAAGGGAATTACCATAAGTTAATAACTATACAAAAGAAAATACTGTGCTGCTTTGAAAAATACAGGGGGAATCTACAAGACTTGCGCACTGCTCCACTATTCATTAAACATTCCATACTCAGAATTGATCAATTATATCATTTTAAATTGCTCCAGTCAATACAAAAGACTAAGCTATATGAAGAAAGTTGCACCGAAAGACCACACTACAGTCTGCGAGAACAAAAGAAACGAGCTCTTAGAACAAGAACCAAGTATAGAAAACAAAGTGTTGCTTACCAGGTACCTCAGGTTTTAAATACCCTTGCAGATCAATTGAACTTTAGGGCTAGTAGTGCGACTTTCAAGAAACAAATAAAGAATTAGGGCTAGTAGTGCGACTTTCAAGAAACAAATAAAGAACTTATTCACAACCACCGGTCTACACTATCGAAACTACGTAATGGAGTTTCATGCCTCTGCAAATGCTTAAATTGTTCATAAATTTCTATGTCAATTATACGAGTGTATACAGCGCAATTCATTGTATACGCATGCATTTTGTGTCTGTTTTTAAGTTGTTTCATTGATATCGTTAAGTTGTGAATTTTTATGAGAGTGACCTCTAATTCTTAAAATGTGTTATGTAAACTTCTTATGCTATTTATGTTTGAATTTTGTGTGTACAATTGCAGGTTGCTTGAAACCAATGTATTGAATATATATATTGCTTGTCAGTGCTAATGTCTAAGCTTTGCACCGTCACGGACTGCGGAAGGACAAGGGCCTTTGTCAGGCTGTTCGCCTTTAGCCCTTTGCCCCTGCGGTGAGCTATGTATCCGGCTTACTGTAAATAAAAGCACTACTACTACTACTACTAATTGCAACAGAAGAAGTAAGATGTAATATTTTTGTGTCAGTACTTTTTTAAACGTCAAAATGGGAAAAGGCCCGTGTCTTTATGTCACTCAGGTAAGTTTCGCAACATTAGCGAGCCTGCTTGCTCGTCTCCTACATATGTATAGCTACAAAGTACGGCAATGTTTTACAGCAACGGCAACAGCCAGAGACACTAGGTTAGGCAAATACAAAAAAACTGCAACTCCACAATGGCAGTCCGCACCAGAAGCCTTAACACAATGTGCACATTCCTACGGCTGTCGATGCACTGAGGCACACAGTCCCCAAAAGCAGAAGCTTTAAGATCTATTCCTGTCCACGCCTAAACAATTTTGCGGACACGTGAGGGCATCTATAAAACAGGCACTCTGTGATAGAAGGATGGGCTTTGTCGTCATTACAAAAAGCGTAACATCAACTTGGCAGCAGCTCGACATCGTGCTCAACAAGCCTTTCAAGGACTGCGTGTGTAAACATTATACGATTGAATAGCCAGCAAAAGCCCGTGAACCACAACCAACTAGCTGTGCAGGCTGCCACTTTGCAAGGTGTGTGCATTGCTGTCCAAGCAGTGCCGTAACTACCCGAAGAAATGGTAATGTGTGTACTCTTTGAAGTGCTGCATAAGCAATCCCCTCAAAAGCACCACGGACTATGTACTGTTGAACACAGCCAGCGACTCGAGCATTCTTCGCCAGGCCGAAGGTGGCCAACCTCAATCCGATGATGCTCAGGAGTTTTCACGAAGCTGGACAATGAGATAGTCGGGTACTCAAAGTAGCGCATGATTAGGCAGACATGCATGAACAAGTTTTTCTGGCCATTGAGCCAAAACAGGTGCTTTTTTGGTGAATCCTTCTTTATTTCCCCCCCCCCCCCCAACCGGACTCTCCATTATTCGAACTTTTCGACAGTTCCCACCAAGTCCGAATAAACAGTTGGCGACTGCATGTAAAACAAAATGAAGTGCGTGTTTTCTAATATTTTTGTGAGCGGCACAGCAACTACAGTTGATAAAAAGAGGCAATTATTTAAAAACTAAAGCTCTCAAGTTTAAAAGTTATTTAGGGCTACAATTCTGTTTGCTCCCCAGTAAATACCGTAACCGAGAGGCAAGACTCCTTTACTAAAAAAAAACTACCATTAAAACAATAAACCGAAACTTTTTTTTTAACATGGCTGGAAGGCTAGAAGCCATACCTTATTTCCACTGTTTAACAGCCAAGTGAATTGCTGTAAAAATCTTTCAATTTATCAGCCCGAAGTCCGGTCGACAATAAATAGCTTAGAAAAAACTACTTAC